CCGTCCAATCGACTGCTTCTCTGGGCGGTTGACCACCCCGACAGCACGATGTTTTTACGTTTTGGCCTCATTTGTTCCGATTTGAAAGTTTTGAAGTGTGTGGACCTTTGGAAAATATTTTTAACTAATTTTTCATGAAAAAAATATTTTTTAAAGCCCAAATATCACTTTTAAAAGTCATTTTTATATTTTATCAAAACATTGCATTAGAATAACTTTTAATGAACAAAAATTATTTTTAATGCATAGAAGGATTTTGAGTTTAACCATTCATTGTCAAATATCAAATTGTTAGTATCTTTACATTTCACCTAAGAAATCAAGTCTTAGATCTTCCTCCGAAGTTTCTTCCATGTTTGGCTTTTGAACTTTTGATCTTTATCTTTCTTGTCATTGATCTTCAATGCTTGACTTTTCTTGACATTTATCTTTTAAGCTCTCGTCTCAAATGATTTGACTTGAATGCATAAGCAATTTCAATTTGATCTTCATTTGAAGTCCAATATATTTTGCTTGATAGATTTTAACATCAAACTATCATCACTCAAAAAAAATTGTTAGAAACAATATCAATCTTGTTTGTTATGATCAAAACATTGAGAATGAAGTCAACCATAGGTCAACAATCTCTTCACTAGGTGAAAAGCATCAAGGCATATAAACTGGCTAAACAGCCAAGACATCCCATGGCAAAAATTTATGGGACAACGATTTGAGTTATTTTGCAAGAACGAAGAGGGGGAGAGAGAGGGAGAGAGAGAGAGAGAGAAGGAAATAAAAGATAAACAATGATCTGTCAGACATAAAATCCAAGGAGATCTTATTGGAGGGAACCAAATAGGATATTCAGCAATTAAATTTAGATAGTCCCATTATTTCATTTAGTTGAAGTTTATTATGAACAATACATGGAGAATGATTAACTTTGCAGGTCAAATATATGGATCCCCTATAGAAAGCTTTTCTGTGGAGTAGAGATGTACATTCCTCCCCTTTCCATTCTAAATATAAGAAAAAATCATCATAAAAGACTTAGAACTATGTAGACCAAAAGGAACATTTTGACCAATGTTTTTCTAATAACAAGTTCAACATTTTCTATTTCAATATTTATTTAACAGATAAGAGTTTTCAATATCCAATGTACTTCCAAATTGCATCCAGATTCTAGACTAGCTTGCTGCTAAGTGTGACTGCTTAAATGGAAGTGGGCAATTTCCACACCTGTAATTTTTCCCCAAGTGCAAGCATCAATGTTTTCCTCAGCCCTTAAAAGTTATTGGTCTACATGTAAAACATACAAATAATTAACGGAAAGAAGCAATACAAAAGAATTGAATTAAACAGAAACCACTGACTAACAATGCACAGCATAGATTTCACAAAAATCATATTGCTAAAAAAAGAATTGGAACCAAGCTTTCCAACAAATTCAGTTATTTAATTGAGAAGCTATTAATTACAGTCAAGTTGGACAACCTTTCAGTTAAATTAATAAATTACCCGGCCAAAATGCCACAGCATGTCAGTCAGAGCATTATAAAAAGCAGAAGCAGTCAAAGTGTCCATTTGTTTCACCTCATCAAAAAGGGACAAAGCTTGCAACCAAACATTCTCATTACAACCCATGAGAAGTCCATACGCTACTCCATAAACCTGATTATAAAAGAGACGTAGTTCGTCCAATAGCAGTGAAGCTTCTTCAAATGAGCTACAGTGGCTGCAACCATAGAGAACGCCATGAAACTGACATTAACTATGATAAGCGAGATAATACAAAGAAACGTGCAACTGATTGTTGCCCAAAGTTTGACCCATTATATAGGTTATTTACTTGTTCTATAACTGAAAGTACTACATTATATCAGCCTATGAAGAAGTTCCATATGATTATGTTTTAACCTGAAGGAAATAAACGCATCAGGTTGAAGAACTTGATGTAACAGAGAATAATATGGTGCAGTAAGTGCACAAGAGATAGAGGTGTGGTCAAACACTGGTACCTGCAAGCATTCAGAATTGCTGAAAATGTGACAACATTTGGCTTTATTTCCATCTCATGCATCTTCTGGAAAACTCCCAAGACATAGAGGAAATCCTGTTTGCCCCTCATATCCCATTTTTCACAACTTGATTTTCCACAAGCCAACTGCTTAAAAATTTTAATGATTTTATCATCCTTTTCATCTTTATCTTTATTATGAACACCATCTGAAGCACAGGTAGTTTCGAGGATGCCAGCTGAGACTCTAGATATTCAACAGCGACAGATAGACCAAAGGCATTTATTATTGAATTATAAGTTACAACATTAGGTTGAATACCTTCCTTCATCATCTCATCAAGAATAATTTTAGATGATTCCACCAACCCCATTTTACATAACGCATCTATAAGTTTGCTGTAGAAAACAACATCTGCCTTCATGCCTTGTTGCTTGAACTCTCTGTAGACCTCTATGGCATCTCGATATAAACCTTCTTTAGAATAAACACTGATTAATGTTGAGTAAGTCAATAAGTTAGGCAAAAGGTTTTCAGCTTTCATCTTGGCAAACAGTTCCTTAACCCTGTCATACATCCCCTGTTTACCAAACCCATCCAATAGAGCATTGTAAGTAACAACATCGTTCTTAATCCCCATACTCTCCATCTCCTTGCCAATATTTAGAGCCTCCTCACACCTGCCAAGGCTAGCATAAATAGCAAGTAAGGTATTATAAGACAGTCTATCAACTTAATACCCGCGAACTTCATCTCACTGAACAAACTAAGTGCCCTATTCAGTTTCCTAGCTTTGGCACATCCACGAATTATAGTGCTGTAAGTTACCTCATGAGGCAAGATCTTCTTGGTGGGCATCTCAGACATTATATCAAAAGCCACATCAATGTGCCCACCATTGCAAGCAGCATCCAAAAGTGTATTATATGTATAAATATCTTGATCAATCCCCTATACAGCATTTAACTAAATAAACTCCTCGCAGTCTCCCACAGCCTGCACCGCTGCAAACCGCCAGAAGCGAATTGTAAGTAATCCTATCTGGTTGCACCTATAGCTCAACATTTCATCAAAAATCATTGAAGCCCTCTTGAAATCAGCACCTCATTTTCCACACGCATCAATCAATGCATTGAAAGTCACCAAATTCGGCTTCAAGCCCGAGTCTTTCATGATTCAAAGACCCTAATGGCCTCATCACAATACCCACTCTTTGTGTAAGCGCTGATCAATGCAGAATAAGCATATACAGTGTACCCATACCCCTCATTCGCTGCATTTTCAAAAACTTCCCTAGCTAAATCAAGTTTTCCTAATCTACCAAGAGTACTAAGCTAGCTAATTTACCTTTCTCATTGTGCCTCTTTTCTTGGTTGATCGAGAATTGAAAGCACCGCATGGTGGTAGACCACTCACCCCTATTCCCTAGCTCCTAGAGCAAGAATGTGTAGTCATCCAACCCATGAAGCTTCGGCCCAAAGCTCAATAGTATGTTATCTATACAATTATGATCACCGCTACAGAAAAGAGCCCATTGAAGGAGCTCCTCCACAGCAGATGTGTGTCAGCAGGAGGCTGTTGACTTGGGTCGGCCAAAATGCATCTTGGAAACAAAGCGGGTAGAGCGGCCACTTTGGTTTTTCTGGTTCCTTTTATTTGTATTTCAGTATGCCACTTTGGTGGGTTTTCCTTTCATCTATATGTTTCTTCAGACCCTGTCGTTGACTAATTACCATTAAACAGGTGCAAAGTGATTAATAGAATTGCAAATTTATTTTGGCTCGGCAGTTAAAATTTCTACCTTAAATTTGGAGGTCTTGAGAGAACAACCATTCTACTCTCCCACACCAGGTGAAATTTGTAACAGAATGATGAAACAAGATAAGAGTTTTCTCAACTCTTAACCAAAAACCTGAATGGCATAGAATTCAGGATGATAAGGGGAAAAAAACGTTGCACTTCTGTTCTTCATTTGGTTTCACTAAATCTTTTGAATGTTCATGCATGAATTCTCTGTCACCGTGCTTTTTGAAAGGAAGCAAAACCCAGAATCCCAAGTAAGCATATACATCATTTGCTGTCCATCTGCACGGTGAATGGGTGGTAAATATCCAGTCTCAAGTCTGAAAACTACTCCCATTTCTACCAAGAAAGCAACTGAGACACAAGATCTACCAAAAAAATATGGCAATGCTCTATTTGACTGAACAAAACCCAGGGCATACTGCTTATATGCTGATTTATACAAAGGCTGAAATTTTCTTCCAGCAAGGTAGACAAAAGTGGAAATGAAAAGTGGGTGCAAAAAATCCTTTCCCAGACCCTGGCACGTGTTTGGCACAGAGGGGAGAGATGGCAAAATAGGGTAGCCTTGTCCCGCACTTCCATTCACGGGAAAGCAAGGTAATCAATTTTTCGAGCAGGCTGCTGATTTCGATTCCATCCCCCTCAACCCAAGTACGAATATTGGATGCCGTTTTCCAAGCAGCTATGTACGTCTCAAGCAAATAATGGTACAAACGGTGAGTAATGCAATTAATCTTCTTCATATATATGTAGAATTTCTCAAATCCATCAACATCCCCAGCTTCTTTAAAATAGTCGATAAACTTATTTAAGGTATCCAACTCTGGCCGCCGTTCATTCTTTTCGATTCCTGATGTAGCAACTTCCATGCACCTCAAAGCTTCATCTATTTGATGGTTTTTCAGAAAGAAATAAATCTTGAAGAATGGTCCATCTGATCTACCAATTGCAGTATGAAGGACAGATTCAGCTTCATTGATCATGTCATGAGTCAAATAAGCACCAATAGCTGTATTTTCCAACCTAATGTCATAACTAGAACATGTTGTTTGCCATTCTTCGTAGATTTTCTTCAACCCATCAACATCATTCAGATTACTAAGAGCCTAAAGCATGATAAGGTAACTCAAATTGGTCACGACTTTGAATTTCGACTTCAAAGAATTCCAAACGCGATAGACATCACCATGATCAGAGATTTGCATCTAAACTTATCAAAAAATGGTATGCCTCACAATTTCTAGGCCCCATCTCCTGCTCTAGCATTTTTAGAGCCAACTCAGTTTTCTCATGAAGTCCAGCCTTGACATAAAGAACTGCCAAGTTACTATACGTTGTCCAATCACACACCTTTGCATTTTCCCGTTTTATCTCCTCAAAAACTCTTTCTGCTCCCTCAATATCATTTAAACGTGAATAACTGTGCATCAATATGGTATAAGTAAATGTGTCTGGTTGGATGTCCCTTTTCTTCATTTCTTCTCTCAAGAGAAGCACTCCCTCTGGCTTCTCTGATCTCATATACAAAGACATAAGATTATTAAAAGGCAGCACTTTGGATATCATGTTCATTTCATCCATTTTTTCGAAGAGACCCACTGCCTTATCAGCCATTTTTTCCACACAATAGCTGTTAAGAAGTACTCCATAAGTACGGTGATTCTTTGCAGCAGGCAAGAGGCCCTCAAAATAGCTCTCCGCTGCAGCTATACCGTTAACTTTTCCAATTAGATCCAAATGTACAGCATAATCTCTGAGGGAAAAGTTAATTTTCCTTACTTTCATCCACTCTATTATCTACATATAAAACAGAAATTAAAAATTCGTGATCAAAATGATAATTATGTGCAAGAACTTAATAGGAAAGTAGTTTGACTGTAGAAAGGATGATAAGGTTATTTTCTCAAACAAATGTCGGAAAAGAGCTCGAACGGTTGATGCAAAGTTATCCTGAGCACGGTTCAAGTAAGAAAAAAAATAGAAAAATGTTTACCTACTTCCAGAGAATGGTTAATCCATCCTACTCATGAATGAATGAAGAAAGGAACTGTTTAGTGAATGAAATGATACTATCAAATTTGATTCATATTGAACATAATGAAATTATATGTTATAGACTTGTAGTTCAATCTGAGCTCATATCAAAATTAATCTCTTAATTAGACAATGAATCAATGGCAAGACAAGGGAAAAATAAAAATAAAATAAAATAAAAAATAACACAAGATTGAAAAATCTTCACATCTGTAAAAATGACAATTCAGAACTTATACATTACCCAAACAGAAGAATTATATCAGGACCTTTTATCATTGCTTTGGTTTCTATGGATTTTTCATTCAAATAAGTTACACTTGAAAAGTAGAAATCTGAAATGTCTATCTTTTCATTTCCAAAATTATTTACTAATAGCAAAGCTGCACCTCAACAGACCAACAAAAATATGGAAAACGAGAAAAAATAAAATTAATTTCTTTTAGCTATCTATAGTACAAATTACCGTAGGAGCTCTAAATCAAAACTGCTTGCACCATTCTTGTAGGTATAGCTCAAATGGGCGTACCAAACATACGCTGAAAAAGTAAAATGAAAAGATTTTTTTTTTCCAGATTGGGGAATGGAAAATGAACTTTCTTTTTGGTTCTCCCCGAAAACGTTCCTCCTTTTTTGAGGGCAATTTTTAAGGAACTCAAAAAAAATAAAAAAATAAATAAAAATTTGATAATTTTCAAAAGAAATATATCCTACTTTGAAAAACTTTTAAAGGAAAATTACTTCAACAAGTTTCAAAAGAAACAAAAAAAAGGGGTTATCAAAAGTGTCATTTAGAGAGAAAAAAAAAAAAAAAAAAAAAAAAAAAAAAAAAAAAAAAAAAAAAAAAAAAAAAAAAAAAAAAAGAAGAAGAAGAAGAAGAAGAAAAGAAAAGAAAGAAAATAACTCTTAAAAGTAAAACCAAATCAATCTCTTAGGGCCTATTTGATTTGTGAAATTATCTATGGAAAATTGGAAAAATTTTCATTTTCCACCTTTTTCCTTGTTTGATTGCAAAATTTTCTTGGCAATTGATTTTCCACTCTCCACATGACCCCTTTTCCAATTGCAATTCCAATGGATTTGGTGAGAAATAAGTTTTTCAGCTTTTTTTAAAATTTATTTATTGCAATGAAAACAAATTCTATCCATAATTGTAACAAATTATATCCCTTTAATATACAATTTTCATGGAAAATAAAGTCAAACGAACACCAAAAAATCTAAAATTTCAACATTTTTCTGATGAAAAATTATGCCAATCAAATACATTTAATTCGCAATTGCCAATAAAATAAATTTTAGGAAATTCAATTCCCTTAAATTCGTTTTCTTTCCATCCAAATTTCATTCTTATAATCAAACGATCCTTATTTCAAATCAAGAGAATTAGAAGTATATGAATACAATGAAACTAAAAATTAAAAAAAAAACCCATAATCAACAATCGGATGATTCGTGAATCATTTAGTCAAACTGCATCTCCAAGTTGCACAAAATTCTTCACTGAAAAAAAAATTAAGAAGAAGAGGGATCTAACTAATTGAACAAATACAATTAGAAATCAAACAAAAATAAATACAAAAGCGGAAAAAAAAAAGGGTAACTCCATATATAAATATTAGTCTTAACAAAACGAGTTGTAATGCTAAGACATTAGAAAAATGGCATATAAATACATACCCACGCAAAGTCCCTGTAATCATGTAATTTATTGATTCCTTCTCAATTGGTTTACAGTACATGCAGTTATTTACTTAACAAGCAACGCCTCTTGCTCAAATGTAGAGTTAGCCGGCTGGAAAATGGATACATACACCCAGGGGCGGAGCTAGGATTTTAGTTCAGTGCGAACAAAATTTTTTCGACGACGAATGTCGAGATTTTAGTCATGGATTTAATGACGATAAAAAAATAAAACAATAATACATCAATACTAAAAATGACATAATTTATATATTACACTTGTTCTTTGCGAGTTTTCATACTTTGATATCGTTGTATACTAACTTCATTATTGAGCCTCAAAAATATATCTTTCTCCACATAAACAATTGTGCTATCATTCATCCACTGATCACCTAATTACTACTAGGAGTGGGAGTAATTCGAGATGTCAAATGAATCACAAATACTGGAAGCAACTCACAAAACTCAGTGCAATTCACAATTTCACATAATCAATTCACAATTTCACAATGCAATATATACTATTTCCAAATACTAGGCAACCTGAACTTGCAATCATAGATTCCCAGAGAGCCAGAGGCAACAATGAATTGGTGGTCCATTGGAAGTTTGTGCCGCTTCGAGCAATTAAAGAATAAAGTGCTAATTTCATATGTTAAAAACAAAAAAGAAAAAAAAACAAATATTATTACAATTTACACAAATTGAAATAGCCAAAAAAAAATAAGGGAAAAAAATTTGGGGCTTCGCCTTTTGCTTTCTGGAATCTGGCTTCTTCTTTTGCCGGCTCGGCTGGTTGGCGTTGGCACTTGGCGCCTTGGCGGAGCTGAGGATGTAGAGTCGGAGTCAGAGATGTGAGATGTCAAGATGAGAGCCTAGAGTAGGAGATATACGATAATGGACTGTCGAAGAGGGAAAGAGAACGATGGTCGTACTGTGACGACTGTCAGAGACGACGGTTGACGAAGAGGGAAGGGAATGGTGGGTTCTGTCACCGGTGGAGAGGGAAGTGGGTGGCGAAGTGCAAAATCATCACAGACAAAGTCACGAAGGGTAGAAATTTTGAAATGAATGAATGGGTTTGGGTCATGACATTGCACAATTAGGCTTCTCTCTCTGGGCTGGATAGAGAATTGAGTTACTAGGTTAAACAAACAAACAAACCTATAAAATAAAAAAATAAAAAAAAAATTTATTTTTTGGCCCAAAAGTCCAATGCGAGCATCTGCTCGCATTGGACGTATAGTGGCTCCGCCCATGCATACGCCTCATACATACCTCGAGAGCATAGTCGTATCTTCTGTATTTACGGAGTTCACGGATGCAACCATCGAGTTCAAATTTACTATTAGATCTTCCTTCCCTTATATACTAATTTATCGTTTTTGCTACCGTTCCTTTTTTGGGTCCCAACGCCGACAATCTGTGGTACAGTCCATCTTTTTCTCCTCCAAGTTAATCCGCTACAGGGACTTTGGCACCCGTCGCCACATAAAGCCACCGAATCAACGCTGATCCTCCGACGGAGACTCGACGACTGCCACTTACCATCATCATTTTTTAAGTACACTCGCTTGAAAGGGCTTTATTAGGGTTTATTTAGCCACAGGGCAGAGGGCGTATTGCTTTAAGTAAAAATTGGGAATTGAAGTCGAGTTAAAAAAGGCACATGATCACTAAAATTTAACATATTTCAATTCACTAGTTACTTTTTCATTAGTCATCGAATTTATATATTTGTCATGCTTTACTTACAAAATTTTAAAATGCTCCTAATTGAGCACTAAACTTCGTTAATGGTTCGTTTAATTACAAGCATGAAATTTATATAAAAAGAAAATAAATTTTAGACAATTCCACTACCTAAAACTTATGTTGAAAAATATTAATTAAATATGTGTGATTGATTAGTTTTCAACATAAAAAATATTATACCTGTTCTTTTTTTGGTATATAAGAGAGAATGAGTAGATGAGAAAGATAAAGAGGGTGTAAATTACCTCAAAAATAAAAAATCACCGCTCTCCAAAGAAAACATTTTTCTTATTTTTGAAGAAAACATAATTACATGACCAAAATTTGAAAAATATTTTTTATGGATAAAATTGTCAATCAAACACCCCAAAAGTAGGAATTTATGTGGAAAAATGATATTTTTCATGAAAAATAAATTCAATCAAACACACTTTAATTGAATTCAACTATTCCATAGTTGAAACAATATAAAATATCATACACGAAGAAGACATCATTTTTCCTTTTGAATACCTCATTACAACTTTAAAATTTATATTTTGTTAAACTTGATTAATATTATTAACTCTAAATTGAAATTTTCATTGTCTATTTGAGATATAATTTTATTTTTATTTTGGTCTAAGATCTCAATCGAAATAAAGAAATAATTTCTCTATTTTTATTTTCTCGGCGTAAATTAGTATTATGGTTTAAATTAAGATTCATGTCAATTTAAAACTACATTCTTCTTTTCCCTTGAAACATAATTTTTGATGACTAAAGAAATTACATCTTCTTAACCAATATCAGTATTCTCATCTTAGATTGAGAGTCTCATTATCTAGCCTATATTTTACTTTCTTGATCTAGGTTGAAAATCATAAAAAATCAACTTTTATTTAAAAATATTATGAAGTCCAGTAATTACTCAAAAATATTTTAAAGTTCAATGTCTAAAATGTGACAAGTGTATAAGTTTGCTAACTAATGAAATATGGTGGATCGGTGATACAATACATGTAAATTCCAATGACCACTTTCAAGCATTTTTAAAGTTCAGTGATCAATGAAATATGATGTGTGGATGATGGAGTACAACGTGTTAAAATTCAATTATCACTTTAAAAATATCTTAAATTCAGTAAGTAAAGCGTGATAAGGATATAAGTTCAATGACTAATGAAACATTTAACTCATTGATGTCCTTTAATTGATTCCTCCAAAATTCATTGACTTATCTTAAAGATTTTATTTTGATTGAAATTTGGTTATTCATCATGTATGAGGATCGTACTAGCATTCACATTGGCTATTTATTTTGATTTATTTTTTGCTTTGCTTTTGTTCAGAGATACCCTATGCTCTT